TTAATCCTACTCCCCATGAGAACCTGAAAGCATTAGATACAACATAGTGCAAGCAATTACAAGGCTTTTATGACTACAGATGATGATTTTCTTCATTAGAAATAATAAGTAAAAAAGTAATATTATTAACTTTATTCAAATCCTAGAAGACGAGCAGTTGGCTTGTAATAGAGAAATAGGTGACCTGCACTACATTAAAAAAGAAAGGATTCTAATGGCACCCTAAACTAAAGGATTTGAGAGATTATAGATAGCCAGCAACTCCTGCGTTCTAATTTTGGCTCTGATACTGATTTTCTCTTGGACCAAATCATTTACCCCATGTGTCCCACTATTCCTCATCTTTAAAATGTTTTCTTTGGGGCGGGTGGAAGTAGTGGGAGGATTGAGCAAAGTGCTACCTGACTGCTATTATGATATAAATGTCAAATTAATTCATTGCAGCATAGTTTGGGTTTTATAACATTAATTTGTAACTTTTAAATGGTTTAAAATTTAAATTATTTTGGCACAAATACCACTGGATTATATAGAAACTAATGTGGTTGATCTAAGTGAAAGGGTTTATGATTAAGGTACTAACTCTGAGAAAGTGCCACTGTGGCTGGAGCTTCCCAGTCGCTGGGGCCAGAGCTCTGCAGCTGGAAAACTCTAGCCCCAGAGGCAGCTAGGGAACCTGTACTGCCCTGATGTCTCCAGGCGAGGGATTGAGCCCTGCCCTGCTGCTGCCCCAGCCTCCCACCCCCCATCTTCCAGGGCTTTCTAGCTGCTGCTGAGGTTTGCTGGCCCTGGAGCTCTGGCCCCTGCCGTGAGGCTCTGGCCCCAGCAGCAGCTAGAAAGCCCCAGGAGAGGGGTGGGGAGCTGGGGCAGCAGCAGGGCTGGGCTCAATCCCTAGCCTGGAGACAGCAGGGCAGCACAGGCCACTAGGGGAGGGAGCTCCCCTCGGTCAGCAAACCCCCTCGTTTTGAGGTTGCCAGACCAGGGAGGTCCAATCAGTACTTATATATTTAAAGCAACAACATATTTGAGGATAATGTATTTCTAAGAGCTACTTGCCCAACAAATATAGCTTGTGTGTGTTGTAGGTTATGTGATGACAGTAAATCAGATGTGTAGTACTTGTGCTCTGGATGACTTATGGGGTTTTTGGTTTTTTTAAAGAGTTAATCACACTAACCACTTCTGTATTAATCGTGTTAGGAGAGGAAAGGTGGTCTCGTGGCTAAGGCACTGAACTGGTATTCAGAGTCTCCTTTTTATATTACAATGGATGAATATAAGCAAACACAAGTATGCAGGGGCAAGATTAGAAAGGCACAAAACGAGCTCAGTCTAGCTAGCGACATGAAGGGTAACAGGAAGACATTCTACAAGTATATTAGAAGCCAGGGGAAGACCAAGGGTGGGGTATGCCCATTGCACAGTGAAGAAAGAGAAACAATACGAGGACACTTGGAAATGGCAGAGGTTCTTAATGACTCTTGTTTCAGGTTTTTGTCAAGAAGATTGATGGTGACAGGATGCCTAACATAGTGAATGCCAGTGGAAATAGGGTAGGTTTAGAAGTTAAAATATATATATAAAAAAGTTAGATATATTCAAGTCACCAGGACCTGGTGAAATGCATCCTAGAATACTCAAGGAGCTGATAGAGGAGGTATTTGAGTCTTTAGCTATCATCTTTGAAAAGTAATGAAAGTCAGAAGAGATACCAGAAGACTGGAAAAGGGCAAATACAGTGCCCCTCTGTAAAAAAAGGAAATAAAAACAACTCAGGAAACTACAGACCAGTCAGTTTAACTTCTGTGCCAGGGAAGATAATGGAGCAAATAATTAAGGAATTCATTTGCAAACCTCTAGAAGAAAATAAGATGATAGGTAACAGCCAGCATGGATTTGTAAAGAACAAATCATGTCACATCAATCTGATAGCTTTCTTCGATAGGACTTCAAGCCTTGTGGATAAGGGAGAAGTGGTGGATGTGATATACCTCGACTTTAGTAAAGCATTTTATATGGTCTCGCATGACCTTCTTAACAATACATTAGTGAAATACAACCTAGATGGGGCTACTGTAAGGTAGGTGCATAACCATTCTCAGAGAGTAGTTATTAACAGTTCAGAATCATGCTGGAAGAGCATAACAAGTGAGATGCCGCAGGAGTCTGTTTTGGGACCGGTTCTGTTCAGTATCTTCATCATTGGTTTAGATGATGGCATAGAGCAGTGTTTCTTAAACTTTTTAAAACTGAGGAACACCAAACAATATTTTTTTTTATGGGCAACACCAAGGATTTTTTTGTTGAGGGGTGGGGTGGGAGGAAAGCCCCTAGGGAAAAGTTGTTGAGGGGGAAAAAGAAAAGGCTTGTCCCTTTTAATGGTGGCCATTTTGAATTCTGTTCTCTCCACGGCACACCTCCGACTGCCCCACGGCATACCAATGTGCCGCGGAACACACTTTAAGAAACACTGGCATAGAGAGTATGATTATTAAGTTTATAGATGAAACCAACGTGGGAGGGGTTGCAAGTGCTTTGGAGAATATAGTGATAATTCAAAATTATTTGGAGAAATTGGAGAAATGGTCTGAGGTAAATAGGGTGAAGTTTAATAAGGACAAATGCAAAGTACTCCACTTAGGAAGGAACTATCGGTTTCACAGATAGAGAATAGGAAGAGACTATCTAGGAGATTTAGGGGTCCTAATGGACCACAAGCTAAATATGAGGCAACAGTGTGGCACTGTTGCAAAGAAAAGCAAGCATGAGTCTAGGAGTGTTGTGAGCAAGACACAAGAAGTGATTCTTCCACTCTACTCTGCACTGACTGGGCCTCAGTTGTAGTATTATGTCCAGTTCTGGGCAGCACATTTCAAGAAATATGTGGAGATAGAGGAGAAGTTCCAGAGAAGGGCAACAAAAATGATTAAAAGCCTAGAAAACATGACCTATGAGGGAAGATTGAAAGAATTGGGCTTGTTTAGTTTAGAAAAGAGAAGACTGAGAAGGGGACATGATAGTTGTTGTCAAGTATTTAAAAGGATGTTACAAGGAGAAGGGAGAAAAATTGTTCTTCTCTGAAGATAGGGCAAGCAGCAACGGGCTTAAATTGCAGCAAGGGTGGTTTAGGTTGGACAGTAGGAAAAACTTCCTAACCATCAGGGTGGTTAAACATTGGAATAAATTGCCTAGGGAGGTTGTGGAATCTCCATCAGTGGAGATATTTAACAGCAGATTGGATAGACATCTATCAGGAATGATCTAGACAGTGCTTGGTCCTGCCATGAGAGCATGGAACTGGACTCGATCTTTCGAGGTCTCTTCCAGTTCTAGAATTCTATTATTCTATTATTCAGTGGCCATCTCCGCCACCATTTCCTGTAATCCTAGTGAAGTTATTTAATCTCTGTGCATCTGCTCTCTGTCTGTAAAATAAAAAGGTCTTTACAGAGGTATTTAAGACAGTTTTTTGTGAGGTACTCAGAGGCATGGTAATCACATGCCTCTGAGTACATGTGAGGCATGGTAATCACAACTCGAATATGAGATAGCGTCTACACTGAATGGACGCTATCTTTCAAAAAAGCAGATTGCTTTTTTTGATGTGCTTTGGCAATGCAGATGCTCTTTCTTAAGTTTTTTTGGAAGATCTCTTCTGGAAAAGCTTCTTCCAAAAGAAGCCTGCAGTCTAGACATAGCCTTTTAAAAAAATCTCTCTAATTCCATGAAGGACTCACTAACATGGAAAATTTAGGAATAAAATATTTTTGTTGAAGACTGCTTTTGTTTTCTGTCTGTCTTCCCTCCCCTCCCTTTTTAGTTTGTTTGTAAACATTTTGCAGGAAACCAGTATTTTTTTTTTTATTGTAGATGTCCTAGTCCTCTCTTAATGACTACGTTCTGTGTGACAGTGCTATTATGACTTTTATAAGTAATGAGTAAGCAGCAGGTATAGAATCTCTTGTTAAAACAGTTCTTAAAAACTGATTTACACTGGTTAGCATTCAGTTCTGCTACCCTTGGTGAGGTTGTACCTTGATCACTGAGTAGTCCCATTGTACTTCTGAATCTGAATTAGCTTGGCCTTAAGAGAATTGGGTTGTTTATGACTGACAGGAAACTGAAGACCTATGAGAAATTAGATTGTATTTTCCCTTTTCCAATGTTAGCTATAACTTCGGACTGTCGGACATTTAGGCAACGTCTAGACTGGCATGATTTTCTAACGGAAAAGTTTTTCCGTTAAAAGCATTTGAAGAAAAGAGCGTCTAGATTGGCACGGACGCTTTTCCGCAAAAGCACTTTTGCGGAAAGGCGACCGTGCCAATCTATACGCGGTATTGCGCAAGAAAGCACCGATCGCCATTTTCGCCATCGGGGCTTTTTTGCACGCAACAGTTTTTAGCTGTCTATACTGGCCCTCTTGCGCAAAAACATTTCCGGAAAAGGGCTTTTACCCGAACGGGAACGTCAAAGCATTTGCGCAAGAAGCACTGGTTTCAGACAGTAGAACGTCAGTGCTTTTGCTCAAAATCAAGTGGCCATTGTAGACAGCTGGCAAGTTTTTGCGCAAAAGCACCTGCTTTTGCGGAAAAGCTTGCCAGTCTAGACGCAGCCCTACTGTTGAGGCTTCTAGCACACTAATACTAATAAATAGTAAAACAAGCTATTAACAGCTTGAGGATGACATAAAATGTCGTCTGCCAATTTTGGTTCTTAGGGTGGACTACATAATTTAATATTTTTTATTTTTAACGCTACCTAGATTTGTCCTAATTAAGAATACTTTTCTCCATAAAGCATTTGGGAGACCTGCAAGGCTAAATTGCTCTCTGTGTAAATTCAGAGCTGTGTATCTGAATATTTTCCATAGGTGGCTTTGGGTCTTTAAGAAGAAGTACTTATAAAAATAAATTGCTACCTGGAGACTAACATAAGTAATATCCCATGATACTGTGCTTTAGACAAATCCATTTAATTGAATGCCTTCTCTCTTACAGACTAGCAATCACCTCCTTGGGCCAAAGCCATTCCCTCTGGACAGATTGTTAGCAATTTTATACAGTATTGTGGACAACAAAGTTGCTCCAACTGCAAATATATTTTCCCAGGTGAGTACAGATTTACTTGTTTTGTTTTTGTATTTTAGAATTTCTAACTTCTAAAAAGATTTACTGTGTTCTCTCAGAACTAATAATAGATTTGAATGTTTTGACTTTGTAGTATAAATAACCATCTTGTAAACGTGAGGGTTTTTTTTATCATCTGATGAGAAATTAGTTACATGTCAATAGTTCATACCTAACATTCTGGATAATTTTTTTCTTCATCAGTTATGCATTAAAATTATCTCTCTATAATGATCAGAAACATTTTAATGGCTTACTTTGGTGTGGATTCTGTAATGTGCTCTACACAGATGGGTATGCGTGCCAGCATGAAGCCAGTTGAAGTCAGATTAGTCACATGCTTAAATTTAAGCATATACATCAGTGTTTGGAGGATTCTGACCAAAATTAAGGCATCATTTACTGTACTACAGCAATGGGTAATGGTCAACAAAAGGTATAGGGAGAAGGTATGGGTTCCAGCAATAAAAGGTCAGAAGAGATATATGTTGTGTTATGCACATCTAGTTATCTAGACTCATTTGAAATGGGACTTTATTATCCTTTTAGAATATTATCTCTTCAGGTACCTGTTTTTAATTATCTTCTTTCTGTCTCTGTGTATACACACACACAATCCTAAATACTTCATGAAATAACATTTCACTAGATGGCAGCATAACTACAGTATTTGGTGAACAGAAACAAACCTAAAATTTTCATTAACAGTTTGGAGTTATCAAGCAGCAATAGTCATGACATTGTTAACATTGAAGCGTTACTATTATAATGTTCATATTATAAACCTGATTCACGTCACACTCACTCTAACCTTTGAGGATCACTATAAGCCTCCTGTACTTTCCTGCTTTCCTCTTTTTCCCTGTTGCCTCTTATCATTTGTTTTCGAAAACTGGTTTTCCCTGTGCTTTTGCTGTTTCAGATTGAGTCACAGCTGCATCTTTCAGGGAATAAGTTCTAATATGCTTAATTATATTTAGATTTTTACATCCATCTTAACCTACACCCCTACAAACAAAACAAGCAAAGCGAAACTCAGTGTTAGGTAATGAACACTTAAGATATCCCTACTGTTGTATAACCCTTTTTCAGTATTAGACATAGAATTTGTACATCTTGGCTGCATCTAGACTGGCAAGTTTTTCCGCAAAAGCAGTTGCTTTTGTGGAAAATCTTTCCAGCTGACTACACTGGCCGCTTGAATTTCCGCAAGAACACTGACTTCCTACTGTCTGAAATCAATGCTTCTTGCGGAAATACTATGCTGCTCCCGTTCGGGCAAAAGTCCTTTTGCGCAAAACTTTTGCACAAAAGGGCCAGTGTAGACAGCTCAGATCTGATTTGCGCAAAAAAGCCCCGATCGTGAAAATGGCGATCGGGTTTTTTTTTGCGGAAAAGCGTCTGTGCCAATCTAGACGCTCTTTTCCGCAAATGCTTTTAACGGAAAACTTTTCCGTTAAAAGCATTTCTGGAAAATCATGCCAGTCTAGACGTAGCCAGTATGTTTCTCTCTATAGCTCTCTGTGGTATGTTACAGGATAAACATTTCATAAACAAATATACAATGCTAATTTAAAATCTACACTAGATGGCATTGTTGCCAAATTATCTTTAAAACGTAGAGTTTTCTCTTAAATATATGTAGATTAAACTTTTAAAAACTGTGATGAATATTTATTACAACCTTGTTATTTACAACAATCACGTTGGAGCAGAGGAGTCTAAAGCTAAGGATTGTTGATCAACCTTGACTTGGAATTTTATGGATTTCACTGATTCTGATAACAGCTTTTTTTGACTAACAAAACACATAGATGGTATCATAAGCTTTCGTGGGCACAGTCCACTTCTTGAGAAAACTCCCGTCATCTGAAGAAGTGGGCTGTGCGCACGAAAGCTCATACCACCATCTACATGTTTTGTTAGTCTATAAAGTGCTACCAGACCATTTGTTTTTTTTTTCGGTACAGACTAAATCGGCTATCCCCTGAAACATCTTTTATTGTATTAGACTTTCAATTAAATAAAAAGAAATTTGAAAACACTAACTGAAATAATATCAAATACATTTTAACAGGATATAACATGTTTAAAAAGCAAATTAGAATGGGTTGAATAAGGTTTTTTTTTTAAGTGTTTATTTTGTCTAATCATTGAATAAGCTGCTGATTTTATATTTGCCTTTCATAATCACTTCATATTACTTTTCTGTACCTGTGGGTGAACATAAAATACAGTTGATCCTGTTGGGTTGGGCATTTGCCAAATTAGCTTTGAAAACAATTATTATTTGAACAATGAGGAACGGGAATAATTTAGGACCTTAGGAACAAGGTCCTAAAAGCAGGGGAGCCACCATAATTTGCTGGTCCGGATTAAATAGAAGCTACAAAGGAATTCATCTTCTGGACATGACTAAGCGCTGTTTTATAGTGCATCTCTGACAGCTATATGGAACAATTGGTATGTAGTTGGTGTATATACCTGGATTCATGTGTATTCATTGATCCACAGCCAAAACCTCAATGATTCTATTACTACAGTTTGGTTGTTAAAGAGAAGCTGGGTAGTTGCTCCATGCCTGTTAAGAGGAAGATTCTGTGAATCTATTTAATTTTGGCTTTGCATGAAGGATGAGGATTTGGCTTTAGTTGTGCAGCATTTTGGAGAGAAAACTATTGATGATTATCATCTTTTTGTTGTTGCCTTCTTAAAGCCTAATTGGTATTATCCAGGCTTTATCTTCTGCACCATAACTTGACATAAGATACGCAATTTGAGCTATGCAAATAGAGTATCTTATTTTGATGCTAATTCAAAATAGCTTATTTCATCATTTGGCGCTGTCCACACAGCACCACATTTCAAAATAAAGTGCTATTCCAAAAAGTCCCTTCTCATAGAATGAGGTTTACAGGGACGTTGGAATAACGAGCCCGAAATAATGGGCTTGCTGTGAAGATGCTCTGTTAGATACTCTGTTATCCCAAAATAGGCTTGCAGTGTAGATGGTAACCTTACTGTGCATGAATTATGGCAATCAGCAAAATAGAGTATACCATGGCAAAAGAGCAGAGTTTGGGCCTGTGAGTGCTACTTGTATAAATAATACTTGTAAAAAATACTAATTAGAATAAGAAAACTTGTAGAAATGGAGAGGTGTACATCCTTCTATGCATAATAATTTAAAGTGTGTTTATAGTTGAAAAATGATTGGAATAAATAATTTCATTTATTTTCACTTTGTACTGCCTCACAGTATAATAGAACAAACCATGTGAGGTAATTTGAAAGAAGTTTGACCTCTATTTAGATCCGAAACTGAAGATGTCCACTGTCTTCCATTTGGGTTAAATTCAAAATAAAGATTGTGTGTATTTGTATACTATGAATTTTTCAGAGTGGAATAGTATTAAAAAATTAGAGCAGTGCCAAATCCTTGTATCCTCTTGCCATTTCCAGATGTTTTCTGTTTTTGTTTCTGTAGTGTCAATCATTTCGTAAGTCATGAAAATGCTTTGTGAAAAGATTTTTTGTTGTTCATTTGTTAACACCAGCAAAATGAACTGAATGTTTATGGGTTTTCTAAAGGCATTACTCAAAAAGAGTGCAGACGATAAGATACATACATATATGTGTGTAATTTCAAATGAAATTAGCCTTGGAGTTTGAGCATTTTAACTTTGAACGAGGATAGATTTCATATTTATAGTTGTCCCTCTTAAAAGCTGATATGCTAAATGCTAATTTAATGTGACTCCATCAAAAAAATAAACAGCATATTTAAAATGCTTTCAGCATGTTTGAGCCAAAGGGACACTGCTTAAAAATTAAACTGTCACCTTCAGAAGCATCAAAAATGTTAGATTATCCCCTTTTTGTTATATTTTCTATGCTGCCTCAAGTGGATTGGATTTGGGAATAACTCATTGTTATATATTAATTATTTACATATCACTGTAGGTTTATGTGAGAATTTACAGACAGTTTACTAAAAGACTCATTCCCTGACCCCAGAAGGTTAAAAGGATTATTTAAATAAATCTTGTTATTTTCTGAAGAATAGCTGGTGGTTTTGTTTATTTTCTATCCTTCTTTTTTTCCTTGATGACAAAGGGTGGCACCTGCTAAACAGACTGGAGGGAACATGCTTGTTGTCCACTCCTCTGATGAATAGGTCAACTGGAGTGCTCTTTTTACTATGGCATGCTCTCCCAGGAGACTAAAGGTAGCATCACTATGTAATGTTTGACCTCACTAATGTAGTAAACTAGATTTCCAAACTTCTTCCTACACTCAATTTTGGTGTATTACTCTTGTGCTTGTATGCCAGTAGTGTAATATTGTCTTAAAGGGGCACCATCAACTTTTAAAAATCATTTCTAACATCTCAGTGTATTGATTTTTGTAAATAAAAAAGAATAAATATCTTCTATTTTTAGTTTTTCCTTTTTCATTTGACAATACTTTATGTATAGTCAGCTTCAATCTTTTCTGACTGATCAGGTTGCACTTCCTTTCTCATGTTCTAGCATAACATAACTTTCATGGACTCCTCTGGGGATTGTTCATGTGCATGTTTTACTCCACACCCTCTAAGAATGTAGCAGAAGCAGCAAAAGAGAAGCTGAATATGAAAAGGGAACATACAGTTGTTCTCACAGACAAGGAGGACTGGGCTAAAACATACGTGCTGGTAGTGGTGGTGGCAAGTTTTGCTCAAAAGACTTCACTAGGAAGCAGGAAAACGTTTATTTTTTTAAATGGACGTGAAAGCAAAAATCAAAATATACTCTTCTGTTTATAGATTGAGTTCCCATTGGTTTCGGGGTTGTTTCAATTGGTTTAAATAGACAGTGCCAATTTTATTTGTTTTTAAATATGTTCCCTCCTCACTCTTTATTGATTTGGAATGGCTCTTTTTCATGAGGGAACAGTAAGATCTTATTCCACCAGTCCCCTTCCCCTCCAGCAATGTAAGG